CGCCCAAAAGCCGAGTCTTGGCGTCGTCGATCACATCGAACCCGTGAAGGCCGAGGTTTGCACCGGCGGTTCGCTCGGTGTTAGGACCAGAGATAAGGACCGAGCCATCGCAACCCTGGACGAAGCAGTCGTGGAAATGCATTCTGAGCAAACCAGGTGCGATCCTCGGGTCGGAAGTGAAATGAGACGCCACGGTCGTCCGTACGATGGACTCGGCGTTAGGGCACGTCCTGGAGTAGAACCCGATCCTGGTGCCCTGGCCATGAGCCAAGACGACAAGGCCAAGGAAGACATTAACGACGGAGAATAGAACAATGCCCATTTCGTGTGGTGCTTTTTTTTTTGGAGACGATGAGTTTGTGTAATGGCGTTTTTGCATGGGAAGTGGTTTATAAAGGCTGAAAGAGTCAAAGGGGTGACGGAAGGAGTAAACGAAATCGGCTACAGTGAACAAAACGACGACGTAGTGGTGGTGATACTGATAATGACTTCAAAGCTCGAAAGCGCGTCTCGTGGGCCGTTGTGGTTTGTGCGGGATGCGCTGTCTGTCTGGCAAACGCGGGAAGTGGACTTTAGCCTTTGTCTTCTTCCCTTACTGTCCTTATTCCGTTTTATATAATCTCATACCTTAGTAAATCTTTTTACTTATCTCTGTGCAATTAGTTTGTAATTATGTTATATATATATATATATAAAGAGTAAATATAATCTCATTAAAAATTATAATCTAATCCTATTAAAACGCTAACTCTCCATAACTCTTCATAATTTTTTATATACCCGATAACTTCTACATAATAACACGTATGAAATTAGATAATTTTTAAATTTCGAGTTGGATGTTTATCATATCAATTCCTCCCTGTTTCAAAAACCTAAATAAAATATGTAAAACATTTATACACCACCGTTAGACATTGGTTATATTCTCGGTCATTAGAGAGAGAAAATATAATTTTAAATAATCAAATTAACAACGGCGGTATAAACATACAACTACACACACACACACACACAAAAAAACGTTCATAATTCTCAATAGTTTTCTGCTGATTAAATCTCGTCATATATATATATATATATATATGGAATATTCAGCCATTATGTCGAACCAAGTTTCACGATAGTGATGAGGGGACTTTTTCTTCTATATGGATTCTGAAATATTCATAATAATTGGCGATTGACTAACAAAAAATTCAAAGGATTTGGCTCTACATACGTAATGGATAATTATAACATCATGGAAATGGTAAAGTCAGACATATTAAAGTTTTATTTGTTCTTCTTCTTTTGATTATATACATATATATATATATATATAATATGGTTTAAAAAGAATGGAACCCTATCCGTATTCCGTATGATTAGTTTGAAAGGGACGTTTTTTCAAATACCCAAGATTTTGTTAGGAAGGTTCACAAAGTCTTCCCTTCCCCTTTTCCGTATCGGCTTACCATTTAGTATCATATGAAGCCTCTCATTCAAATCCCATTACGATTACGGATCCAAAACGGCTCGAAAATAGTTTCGTTTTGAGTTCAATTTGATTATACCCGTATTCCATCACTTCGGTTTTAGAATAATTTAACTTTCGGTTCAGTTTGTTGTATTCGAGTTGGATTACAAAAATATTGATTTTGTTAAGGAAATTTCAGTTTTTTTTTTCAATTCGATCGATTTCAGAGAAATTAGAACCAATTAGTCAAACGAATGAACCGCCCTATAGGCATAATCCCGAAAACCCAAACTGTGGATGTCAGGTCCGGTTTTGTTAATTCGAGTTCAACCAAATTTGAATAGACCAATCAAAATCAAAATGGATTGAAACCAGACCGGACCAGATGTAAAGGTACCGGTTAGGTATTTCAATTAGAATCGGACCAGACATGCGTTTTCTCAATCAAGTTGGAGCAAACAGGACTAAGCAGTCCAATGACACACAATCTAATCAGTATGAAAAATATAATCAAACAGTAAGTAACTGTGTAAAAACCTAAACCTTAAAAAGCTTTTGGACGGTGTGGTAAAAAGGGGATTATAACAGACAGACACAACGTAAGAAATTCACCCTCCTACCAAGAACATGTCTGAAAAACAACACTAACAGATACTGAGACAAAGCTATGGCCACAACATTCTGCCTTGTTTAAACCAGAAACCATGATAGAAAACTCTGAAATAATAGGGAGAAATCCTAATTTTAGAAGACTAAAGACTCGGTGGATTCTGGAGCTCCATCATAAGTCAAAATCCTGTGAAACTGAGAGTTTCCTACGGTAACTAAGGGGAATCACAACATTCAGAACTCAGAAGAAAAGCCAGCTCAAAAAAACGAGCTCTCAGAGACGAAAACCGGTGACGAACCGATTGATTCCAGCGAAATCGGAAACTGCCTTCACATCGGAGAAACAACCCATGGGACCACTGGTCATGTACTCCACGAGCATCTTGCTCTGTTCCTCGCCGTTTGTCTGCATCAAGACGACACCATTAGCTGCTGAGTAGATATCATCACGGTTATACAAATCTAACAAAGGATCTGTTTTGGATTAGACAAAGGACAAAGAGGGTACCTCGAAAGCGAAAAAGCCACCAGCTTTCAGCATCCGAGATGCTCCATGGCAGAGATGGAGAAGGCAATCTGTCCCGTCTATGCCCCCATCTAAGGCAAGTCTCGGTTCGTGTCTGCTAACTTCTTCTTGAAGGCCGGAGATGTTATCACTGGGTATGTATGGCGGGTTACTCACAATCCCCATAAGTTTTCCTTCAAATTCATTCAAAGGTTCAAACCAAGATCCTTCCCTCACCTCGATCATCTCCTGGGGGTATAGTAAAGTAGCACCATTCGATTTTATCAGAGGAAACCAAACTGAAGAGCATGCATCAATGGAACTGGAAGCATGAGAATCATAGGAAATAATGGAGGGAATTAGATGGAACTTGCATATATCTTGAGGCAAAAAGGATTCCAATTTCAATCACTTCAACCTCGAATCATACACATCTTAAAATGTCTTGTCCACAGAAATTGGAGTTTTTTTTTGGTAATGAGTAAATCGAGTTAGAGCTTTTGTGGATATGACTAACTAACCTGAAGGCCGTATCTCTGCACATTGTGGCCGGCGACGGAGACAGCCACCGGACTCAGATCGGTGGCTATGACTTTTCCGCGGCTTCCCAAAACCCTAGCGACCCCGATCGCAATCGCGCCACTACCAGTTCCGAGATCAGCCCAAAACCCTTCCTTGAACCCTTCGTCTCTCGCAAGAAGCTCCTCCACCATATCAACGATCAGCTCCGTCTCCGGTCTTGGAATCAGAACACCTTCCTCGACGCAAAGCACCAGATCTCTCCAGTGTTCGCATCCGACGACGTACTGGAACGGCCGACGCTCCTCAATCCTCTGCCTCCACAGAGCGTAGAGATCCTCCACTGGAGCTCTCAATTTCAAATTCTCGGAATTTCCTCCAATTTCCCTTCGATGGATCGCCGATGGGTCGCCTTCAATGGAGTCTTCGATCAGCCACTTGAGCTCCCGAAGGAGAAGGACGGAGTCGGGACCGTCGTCGGCGTCTGTAAACGAAGAGCCAACGGAGGAGGCAAGGCTTCTCGCCCACTCGTGCCATTTTCGGACCTCCGATAACGGAGCTGCGTGCGCCGGCGGTCTAAGGAACAGTGGGGTTTTGGGGGAGATCTCGAGTTTATTTGGCGACGGCGCAGGTCCCACCGACGGCGACCGTCGCTGTGATTCCCTCGCCGGAGAAGATGAGGAAGCGACGGAGCTAAGGTGTCTACGAGGTACAAGAGTAGAAGGAAGAGACGGAACTCGAAAGCTCGGAAAGATTCTTATCATTTCAAGTTCTTCTGCCCTGCACATGAAGGAGCGGAACAAATCGGTTAATAAATGAGCGTTCCCCTAAACCGGTTTACTGAACCAATCAATTCCAGTACAATTTACAAATACCTAAAGAACCGGTACGAAAACCAATTCCATAAAATACGAATACTCGAGTTAGAAACTATTTATGTACCGAGTACATGGGAATTTACATGACAGAATTGTAGAAACGGGCGTTTGTTTCCTAGTGCGTAATAAATTATTTAAGCGTGCAAGTGGGACCTAGCTGACGTCAGCTATCCCCACCTCGGGGAATTTTAATCCTGTAAACGACGAATTTGATTTTATTAGGTCTAGTGGTTAAAATCTTATAGAGACAAATGATAAAAGAGCTAGTAGAAACATGTTTGGTAAAACCATATAAAAGAGAATAGCGAAGAGGCATGTGAACGATCAGAAGGACAGGAACTAAATCGTGCAAGAATCTGCTCATGCTCCTGTCTGAATATGTAGCCTTTTAGCTTCATGCGCTGCCCTTTTGCAATCTTCAACAAAAAAAAACCCTGAATGCAAAACTTGTACCGTTTGTATCCTTGATAAGACCCATTGATGGTGGTTGAACCAAAAGAAATCCCTGTATGCAGGGTCTGTCTCTACACAAATCTAAATCCTAAAGAAGTTTCCTTAGCGAACTGTCTCTACCCTTCTGCCTCTTTGCAAGCAGATCTTCTCGGACCCAGCAAAACTAAGACATATCTACTTGTGAATCCGAATCATGCAACCACTAGCAATTGGCTATAAAGGATGACCAACCCATACCCTTCACCATGTAAACAGATAGAGGGGAATTGATAGAGATGGGTAAGACATTTGGCTTCTTAATATAGCAAATGTAATATCTTACCACATACTTTCAGTTAAGAGACAAAATGCTACAACCAGCAGAAGAGTGTGCTGTCACCAGCATCCATCACCCACATCCATCTACAGTTCACACACAGCATCAACAGCTACTCTATCAACATGGTGTCCATCTTCCCAGTCAATTCTTTTCTCGAACACAACTAGAAAAAAAATCCATGACAAGGCATAGAACATGTTAGTAACCCTACGATTTCCAAGAATTAAGACCAAAACAAAGGAAAAATCCCTAGCACAACACATCCAAGAATTGCAGGAAGATCATCTGGCCAGAAGAACACAATCTCAAACGGCAAACAAACCTTGGACATGGATATTAGAAGTTCAAGATACGAAGGATGCAAATAGCAGCAAGCAGACATACAGTCAGATGGTTCAGAACACCTACGGAAAGCAATACTATAGAGGCTAGAAGTTTCCCACATGAACGGGCTTCAAGATGAGAGATCATTGGTACAGGCAACACGTCTAATTTTTTATCACCAAACTAGCACCATCACATCAAGTTGACCCAGAACGCATCATTCCTGCAAGGCACACAGAAAAGCAGATTCAGCCATCAAATTTCACTGGTCATTTACAACCAAGGCAAGGAGGGGCTTAACCCACCTCAGCACATGGAGATGGACTACGGGAAGCAGCAGCCTTATCCCGAGGAGAAAGGCTCCGAGGAGATGGAGACCTTCCATTGTTCCGCTTATCAGGACTGAGATCCCTAGGAGATGAGGCCTTGAGAGGGGATGGACTCCTAGGACTAGCACTGCGGCGAGCAGGAGAGGCACTGCATATCAAAAAATAAAACAGCCACAGGATCATTATATGTTCTGTAAAACAAGTGGAAATAAAAAGATTCAGATAGAAAAAACCTCAAGGAGTGACCACGACGCTTTTTATACGGAGTCAAACTCCGTATAAAAAGATGTTCTATATGCCGGTATCATACAGATTGAAGCGTTTGTATGAATCACAACAAATGGCTTCACATATGAGATGGCATGTCTCGCATTCTGCCGTTGATGGAGAAATGCAACATCCATCGGATGCTTTGGCATGGA